CTCGGCGTCAAGGACCCCGAACGAAGGCCCGAACGTAGTTTCGGGTCCGGGCGTCAAAATAAAAAAGAAAAGGACGGCCCGTCGCCGAAACGGTAGTGTATATATACTATGATACTAACCACTTGTATTGGTATCACTGCTTCTCTCTTTATCTCTCTCGCTCTTCTCTCTCTCTCTCTCTCTCTCTCTCTCTCTACTGTTAGCTCAAGGGCTAAAGAGAAGCTATGAGCCCGACGGCTCAGATTGAAACTTGGTCGATCTGACAGTCGTGACCTCATTTCGTGTTTTAATTTTAAATTTTTTTTTACAAATCCAAATTACTTGAATTTTCAACATGTGTTCTTCTCATCAAACCGCACCTAATAAAAATATAAAAAAAATAATCAGTAAAAATAAAATTGATCAAAATACCCCCAAAACTTTAAAGGATATTTTGGTCAATTGTTTTCATATAAAATATTTTTTTCATATTTTTGGAAGATTCACCTATATTTTATGAACACACGTCTAAAATTTCAAGTGATTTGAATTTGTAAAAAAAATATTAAAATTCAAACACTCAGGCATCCGTGAGCGTCAAATCGACCCAGATTCAATCTTGGCCATTGGGCTCATATCTTCAAGTTAGGCCTTGGGCTAAAAGAAATACTATATATGTATAGAAAAACACTACGCAACGCCTATAAGCGAAAATGAATAGTCATTTTGCCTATCCCCATTTACCGTCCAAAGTTCATCGCGCGGTCACGATTGTCTGGTAGTGTTGTATTTTTTATTTTTCATTATAAATCAGAATGACCTAAAAGTTGGTGCATGTATTCATCAAAAATAGGGGAATCTTCGAAAAATATAAAAAAAATATTTTACATGAAAAACATTGATCAAAATACCTCCGAAATGTTTTTGGGGTATTTTGGTCATTTTTTTGTAAAATAATGTTTTTATATTTTTATTAGATGCGCCTCAGTAAGATGTACATATCCTCCAAATTTCAGGTCATTCCGATTTGTAAAAATAAAATAAAAAATAAAACACTACCGAATAATCGTGATCGCTCGATGACATTTGGACAGTGATGAGGGTAGGCAAAATCACTATTCATTTTCACCCATAGACATTGGGAAGAATTTTCCATATATATCTATATATATATAAGGCAATGACCTAATTCAACGGTTTTATAGTAGTATAATGCAACCACACCTCTAAAAAACCATATTTTTGGCTTTGTATGAACCTAAATTTTGCACACAAATTCTCTTCATCCTCATAATCAATCCTAAAAAATATATATATTTAATTTGCACCCTAGATATGGTAAAAATTAGTACCCATCCAACAATGAATCTCGACCATCCATTTGGTGAATTTCAATATCTAGGCTTTAACAAATTCAAAATCACTTTTTTATGTTTTAGCATTATTAATCTAATGATGATAACGCTATATAAAAAATTTGGGAATAAAAAAATCCTTTTGAGGCCTATATCTAACCATCTGAATAAAAAAGATGGCTTATATTAATTGGGCTAGAATGAAAACTTTCTAGTGCATTTTTTCAGAATTTTCTTTTTTATGATTGTTCTTCAGAATGAAAAAAGTGTACATTTAAAAATTCATGTCAAATAAATGTCTTTAATATGGTTTTTGAAGATGGTTGCATTAT